TTTTAAATGAGGCTAGGTGAAGACCATGCAAATCTCAGGGTTCCACGTAGTAAGAATAGAGACAGAAAAGATGAGCTTCCTGGGACCCAACAAATGACAATTCTGTCAGATTGCATGGGACAGGCAGATGTTATGGGACACAGTCCTTCAATTAACTGCATACTATGACACGCTTGTAACTTCCCATGCCATTTTATTCTGGAGGAGCTCTAGCTTCCTAATGGTCTTCAAGGACATTTCAACAGTTTGCACCTGTAGTGACTAATCTAGTATGAATGACAGCCCAAATGGCCTTCTTGCCTAGAAAAGCATGTAATTAGTATACAAAATGAATCTGTATGAAGGACCTCCTGCTTAACAGAGTTGAGATTTGTAACTTCATAACATGCAAGTCATTACCATTCCTGGCAATGCTTTTCTACTGGAATTTTCTAGTAATACTTGACTGATCAGGTACTGCACTTAACACTACCCAGAAACCACTAGAAATCTCTAGTTTTTCTTCCTAGCTGAACCTCTACATTGCAAGTTGCCATAGATTCCTGCTGTGCAGTACAATCACAAAAATAACATTGTCATTCTCAGAAAATCTTAATTTTCTGTGAAATCAAACAATTTCAACTAAGTAAGCATGATAATAATTATTAATGAAAATTTGAAGAGTACAGGCTGTACCACTGAGTTGTATTCCATTCAATACCTTATTTGAGTTTAGTTTTCAGGTGAGTTGTACATCCACTTAGTTATCATGCCCATACATAAGCAGCTTTCCAGTTAGAATATTATGGAATACTTTCTCAATTGTTTTCCGAAAATCAAGACATACTACATTTACAGCATTCCTACAATCTGCTAAATAACTTTTCTTATCATGGATGAATTCTCAATCATCCAGGCAGAGTTATCTGAAGTTGTCTGAAAGTTGAATCATTGCAACTGGACTAATTTTTAGTTTGAGAGACATTTCACTGCCCATCCAGGCAGCTTCCTCAGTCAGAGCAAGGCAATTAAGCAGAGAGTCATTGGGATGTACCAACTCTTGCCACACCAACCTCCTCCCCAAAGTGTTCAGTTGCAATGATTCAACTGTATGTGGCAGGAGTTGGTATGTTCCAACAAGTCTCTGCGTAACTGCCTTGCTTTGACTGAGGAAGCTGCCTGGATGCGCAGTGAAACGTCTCTCAAACTAAAAATTAGTCCAGCTGTAATGATTCAACTTCAGACAACTTTTCTTATCCAAAGTAAGAAATACTTTTTCAATGCTTTAAATGAAGAGCCTCATATAGAAAGATCTGAAACACAGACCAACAGCTTTTAAAGTAATATACTGCATCGCTTAAATGGCCTAATAGAGGAAATTATACAAAGTTCAAATTCATAGGTCAGATCAAAGTCCAGAATTCTATTCTATTTAATTCTGTTTGAAGACAAGTCATGAATTTGATTACACAGAACACTCTTCCTTGATAAAAGGTTTCACAGTCTTATCACAGATGAAACTGGACAGCTTATTAAGGAGAGACTTTAAAAGCAAGTCAAGTGTAGCTGTAAGCTTTTAAGTAACTAACAGATGAAATTATTTTGAAATGTGTATTTAAAAAAAAACACTTATCCCATACTTACTAGTGTATTAGAAATCCAACATGAGTTGAATTACTAATACCTTTCTCTTAAGTTATATTTATAATTACACTGAGAATTCAATCAGTTTCTCTAATCACAGTATCTTGGAAAAAACCTGAGATAATCTTTAGTTTAGCCATTTACATATCTCTCAGCTGTCTACTACCCATGCTTAGAAGTTGTAAGAAATATTGTAGTTGTTCTTTCTATCTTAATAGGTTTAAGGTATATATAAGATATCTAAGAGCGGTGGTGGCATAGTGGTTAGAATGCAGTATTGCAGGCTAATTCTGCCCACAGCCAGGAGTTTGATTCTGACTAGCTCAAGGTTGACTCAGCCTTCCATCCTTCCAAGGTCAGTAAAATGAGGACCCAGATTGTTGGGGGCAATAGGCTGACTCTGTAAAGCGCTTAGAGAGGGCTGTAAAGCACTGTGAAGCGGTATATAAGTCTAAGTGCTATAGCATGGGTGTCAAACTCGCAACGTCACGTGACGTGTCACGATATATCGTGACTTTTTTCCCATTGCCTGCAATGGGTGGGCGCGGTTTTGGCATGACGCATCCAGCTGGCAGTTTGACACCCCTGTGCCATAGCTATTATCTTTTACATAAATGAGCGAACAATCTTTTCTACTACTCCAAACTCTCTACCTGGAAGAATCCGCTCCAACGATCTGTTCACAAAGGACCACCATTATTTCTTGCCTCCACCCTTTTCCTTTACCCACCCCTTTCCTGCCTGTAAATGTTGAGAAGCAAAACAAGCTAAAGGCACATTTATGTACCTCAAAAGTTTCCACATCAGTTGTGACTACTCAACTTCCTCCCATACATGTTCCATCTGAAGCCCATTTTACTTTTAAAAATAGTCTGTACTACTTGCTTTACCTCTACTTGATAATGGAAGTGCAGAGCTGCAGTCCGAATAACAGCCAGCAATCAATAACAAGATAGGTAGAGCTGCACACAGAACTAGATAGGTTTGGCTACTGAGTTAAAGCGCCAATACTAAATAGATTGGGTGGTCTTTCCATAGACTTAGCAAGAGGAGTCAGTTGCAGGCTGTAGTATTGTTTGTAGCTGATTAATCCTTCAACAAGAAAGATTCATATTATAATGGGAGTTATGATGAGCTATTAGACGCAAATAAGAGCAATTATTTATTTATTTAAGCAATTTATTAAGGCTGAGTCCCTGGGAGTAGGAATTAGATAAGCTATACATAGTTTATTCAGTGATGACATCTGGTGGTTCAGAAAAAAAAAAGAATTCAGATTATAGCTTTAAAATCCTGAATGCACTCTAGCACAGAGTAGACCAATATTAGCTTTTAAAGTTGCAACTACATGAAGTGGTTTAATAATTTTAATAAATATATTTACTTACTTTTGTTAAAATAATAAATTATATTAATGTTATAGTTTTAGTTTTATTAAATTAAATTTATATTAGTTTTAACTAACATAGCACATTCCATTTGCTAGGGAACTTTACACATCCAGCTTTATTGAATTCAACAGCCAAGAAATTCTAGCTAAAGTATCCCTTTTTTTATTTTAAACTGGTGCAATTTTGTAGTCTCTTGCTAGCAATAGGGAGGCATTACAGCAAAAGAAAAAATTGTCCCAGCCCTGAAGAACAAACAAAGCAGAATGAGGTCAGCTTGAGTACAGGTATCCAGATACAGTCCTATTTCCTATTAATCACATAAAAAAACAAAATTACATAATATAGTATTTCATACATTGAATCACACCAATATAGAAATGTCCTCCTTGTAATAAGACTGTTTGGAGGTCAAGTTAATCATTACACTGAATTATGAGGTCAGTGGGAGGAAAGGTAATCTTCAGAAACTTCAGTGCCACATTTTCGTTTTTTTCACTGTCATTTTAACAGCTGTAGTTAAACTCCATTAAACAGCCTTGGAGAAGAAAGGAAACTCTACTTCTGCTTAAGAGACAAAAGATTCTTGCTATGCAAGCAAAAAAGCAGGCTAAAAAAATGTATCAGAAGATTTATGCGTTTTCTGCCTTCAAGGCTGGGTGTTGAACAGTTTCGCTGTTTCAGGCAATTATAAATGCTAGTTATTTGGACCTGATAAACCACAATGTGTTTTATTCAAATTTTAAGATCCATATATTTGGTAGTCTCTTTCCACCCCTACCCTCATGATCCAAAAGCTTTACCTGCGAAAGATTTATATGATCTGAAGAGTAGTTCAGATACTCAGTATTTCAGGGTATTTTTTATTATTATTTTTTACTATTATTATTGTTTTAATGCTTTCATTTGCTGGTCTGCAACCGTAATAAAGATTGATCAATGGCTTTACCTGCCCAGAGATAATCTCAGAGGCAACTCAACTCATTATCTAGCCCTCCTAATCTGCTGTGGTTAGTTCTCATGACTGCTCCATTTTCAGCTCATTACACCCACATGATATATGGCCAAGCTACAATCTCATAAAATGACGTATCTCAGGGAAGGTCCTGTAGTGTAAGAGGGAATAGCAAACTAGCGCCTCTCCTGATATTAAACCGATTTCTAGAAATCACTTTTCTCACCACCACCACCCCAACATCCAACTGAAACCAGTACTTTGCAGGCATGTACGATGCCCCCATGTCTTTACGGGGAAATCCCTCCTCTCACATCAAAATTTCCTAACGTGTGAAACAGAAGTCATCCTACCCCTGTCCTACCCAAACCGGCAGCTTTCAGGTTAGCCTCCCACAAGAGGGTTGGGTGTTTTGATATTTTTTTTTTTGTTTTAAATTGCGAATGTTTTTTTTTTTTTAGCAGAGAGCACCATAGCAGAGATTAGCGAAGGAGAGGGCAGGGGCCACCGAGGCAACGGGACCGGGCGCGCCGCATCCTTAAACTCGAGTTCAAACTTCCCACGAAGAGTTAAAAAAANGGGGGGGGGGGGGGGGGGGTCAAAAAAGAAGAAGAAGAAAAAAAAGAACGAGAAGGGGGCAAGAAATCGCTTCCCCGGCGCTGCGTCCCCAAAACGCCCACGGGGACCTTGCGTTGCCAGCAAGGGCGAGGAGGAGGAGGAGGAGGAGGAGAAGAAGAAGAAAGAAGACGCGGGAGGGGCTGGAAGGGTCCTCTCTTCTCCCTCGCCCCCCCCTCCCGGCCCGCTTCTACTGGAAGGCATTAGCGCCCCAAAGCTCAACCTGGCTTTTTCCCCGCCCGCTTCAAAAGAGAGAGAAAAAGAAAGAAGCGGCTTTCTTCCTTTTCTCCAGAGCTGACCACGTGCAGCCCGGCACCCTCCTGGACTCGAGCGCGGCGCCGAGATCCGCCGCGGAGTAAGCTTCCCCCCCCCCCCCACCACCACCACCACCCCACCCCGGCGGCTGGTTCGCTACTCACCGCTAAGACCGCTTGGAAGCAAAAGACCAAGGCGCTCAGCCCCGCGATCGCGCTGACCCTCATCCTCTCGCCGTCCGTGAAGCAAGCCGCGTTTTTTTTCAAAGGAACCCGACGAAAGCCGACCTGGGCTTCCTCTTCTCCGCCGCCTTCGCTTCGCTGCCCAAAAAAAAAAAAAGGCGCTCTTGGGGAGGAAGCGAGGCTCGACTCTGCCTTTTGCTAATAGAAATCAAAGGGTCCCGCCCACCAGAAGGCAGCCCCGCCCAGACCTGCCACGCCCCCTCCTCCTCGCACCATAAGCGGCGTTTCCTGCTTTCGGCCGCTTGTATTTATTCCCCGGCCCGCGTAATTCTCCCTCTAGTGAGGGATAGGGCTCCGCTTGTTTTTTCTCTCAGCCTGGGTTTCTTGAAATCGCCACCATCACCGCCGGTGGTTGGTTGATTGATTGATTGATTGATTGGTCGACCCCTCTGGGTACCCTCGGCCTTGCCTAAAAGCCGTTAAAGCTGCACGCCTCCTGGTTTCCAACTCCCTCCTCCGAGGTGCTATATGCTACCGCAGTACTTCAGACGATGTGGGAAGAAAAACGTAGAGGGAGGAACGGGGAGGGGGGGGGAGAGAAGAGCCGTTAATCCGTACGTCTCCTCCGAATAAACGAGAGAAAGCCCCTAGCCGTGACCCGCGATACTATTCAGACGACCCTGTGTGTAACCTGAAAGTCCATCTTAAGAAAAAGGAAAATGCAGAACCTGCGAATAAGGCAGAGGAAGGCTCCGGGCTTCAAACGCTGGATCAGAATCGGCACTCTTGTCTTCTTCGATTCGCTTCAGTTCCTGAGCCTCCGAAGAAATCCAGTAGAAATGCTGATAATCGAAGATTTGTCATTCTGCTTTTTTAACAGCTCTTGATCTACAAGCTCCTGAAATCCTACGTGTTAGGTTTTTAACTCATGGAGTTATATAATTTTTACACACACATACAGAGAGAGAGAGAGAGAGAGAGAGAGATGCCGTAGCTATGCCTCAAAACTTGCTTGGTTTTCTGAAATTTGAAAATTAGCAATTATACTTAATAATTCACTTTTTTCCCCAGCTTCATCCTAAAGACGCTTCTTTCTGTGTGTTTACTGGAAAAACTTGTATCCTTTCATTTTTCTGTCAACAAAAGCCAAGCACATTTTCAGAGCAAGGCAAGGTTATTTGACAACATAAATAAACATATAGTTTCTCTTCAAGTCAATATTGGCTACTGGAGACTTCATCCCAGGTAGTTTTCCTGATGACAATACAGAAATGACCTGCCACTACCTCTTCTAGGATAGTATTTTATCTTTCAAGTCTATCCTTTAGAATTTAGATTGATAGTTGACACTCACCTAAATACTACCCAGATCCAAGTTTGCTAACTTTGTCAAATCAGCCAAAATTCACCCTAGTTTGGTGATTATAGAAAGCTACCATAATAAATTCACTTTATTTTACTCTGGAAAGAGTGCAGATAAGGGACTCTGAAGAGAGTTTCCAGAGATGCTGGAAAGACTGTAGAGAAGAGCAACAAAGATGATTAGGGGGCTGGAGGGTAAGATGTATGAAGAATGGTTGCAGGAATTGGGTATGTCTAGTCTACGAAAAGGACTAGGGAACAGTGTTCCAGTATTTGAGGGGCTGCCACAAAGAAGAGGGGGTCAATCTATTTTCCAAAGCACCCGAAGACATGACAAGAAGCAATGGATGGAAACTAATCAAGGAGAGAAGCAACCTAGAACTAAGGAGAAATTTCCTGACAACAATAAACTAGTGGAATGGCTTACCTTCAGAAGTTGTGGGTGCTCCAACACTGGAGGCTTTTAAAAAGAGACTGGATAGCCATTTGTCTGAAATGGTATAAGGTCTCTTGCTTGAGCAGGGGGTTCGACTAAAAGACCTCCAAGATCCCCCCACAACTCTTACTCTATATTCTGTATTTCTTCTACAGAAGTATGAATCCTTGTGTCTTTAAACGTTAGGCATTTGACCTTTCAACTTGCAGCAATATTTGATATCCAAAGCAATCCATAGATCCAGAGGTTGGAAAAGGAGAAGGACCATGAACCAGCAGTTACTCTAACCTAAATTATTCTCTTGCAAGAATAGTAATGCTTTCCTTGTTTTCAGCTGGCGATGGCAGGACACTCTACTCAGCCTCTTCCTTTCTTTCCAAACTGACCATTTTATTTTGTGGATGGAGAACATGTATCAGTTGTTTATGTGGACCTTATCCACAATTACACAGAAGTAAATTTGACTGGTTTCCATAGGTAGGACTTACTTCTAAGTAACCATGCATAGATTTTCTATATTAGATTCACACGTATAATTCTTACTGATAGGAACTTATCTTTCCTGAATATTTTAGACTAAAACAAAGACCTACAACCCTGAAAAACTCTTTTCCCCCCCCCTTAAAAGAAGCTTTTTATTTTATTGGAATGTGTTCATAGCCAAATTCCTGAGTAAACAGAACTAGTTATAGTGTGGGAATTACTCATAATTTCTATGATTACTCATAGAAATTAGAAAAAGGGTACCCATCATAAATTTACCTGGAAGGAAACCACAGGGTAACCTTGCGTCAAAAAGTATGCATAAGAGGGCAAATATTTACTACAGTGAACATGCATGTATGCATGCAAAAACCAGGTTCTGTGGGAAGATTTTCACACTTGTGGTCTAACTAGTAGACAATTACCTGCAAATAAGTGGTCTGTGGTTGGAAACAACCCCTTCAACAACACCAGTCATGTCTTTGAGATGTGAGAAAACGGAGATCCTCTCACCTTCTAACATATGAATACATTCCTTGTGGGAGATCTGACTTGAGGACATTTTACAAGACAATTGCACTAATTAACAGTTTTGGGTGAATGGTCTGAGGAAATATAACGCAGTTCATGCAGAAATGAAAATCTGCAACTTTAGCGGAAAGAATTTCCAGGAAACAATTAGACTTTAAATCTGATTCTGAATATAAATGTATTACTTTGGAATAAATGCAACCATCTTCATTTTGTTGATATGACTGAAGAGATTTTAGATGCCACATTATTGGATGAATGCCATTAAATTGGATAATTGTTAACTAAAGCAGTTTATTAAGAGCATAAAGAGAAAAGGCTGCTGGATCTAGATGAGAAGACAATACCTCAGTATTCTCTTACCAGTCAGACATTCTTTCTAATAAGCTGATAAAAGAGAGAATATTTCCCTTTGTCAAACACAAGAGTAATATGACAATTTGATGATGCCTGGCATACATACTGTGAAACAGTTAAATGTTCCTTTCATGTTTACGTTGTTAGCTTTTTTGCTCATAATCTGAAACTGAAAATAAGTTGTACTTGCCATGTATGTCAGTGGGCAATGTATTTTTTTGCAATGGATTTCAAAGTTAACTATATTATTTTAGGTCCAGTTTCTTTATTTGATGTGCCTTTTTTCCCTTTCAGATCCTGATTCCCAAGTTTTTATTGGCTTGTAGATAAATGGAAGTTTCTGTTCAGTGACGCACTAGTAGTTGGGAAATTATGGGTTTACGCTTGCAATCCTAACTCTTTCCCAGAAGTTTTTTTTTTTTTTTGTCTTTTCTCTCTTACATGAAACTCTTGCAAAAGTAAACCTACTTTTCCATTCTAAAGGACTTTTTGAAACAATCAATGTACCCTAAAGATATTTCTTGTTCAATGGCAAAAAATACAGGTAATCATCGGCTTGTGACCACAATTGAGCCCAAAATTTCTGTTGCTAAGCAAAATAGTTGTTAAGTGAATCTTGCTCCATTTTACAACCTTTCTTGCCACAACTGTTAAGTGAATCACTGCAGCTGTTAAATTAGTAATACGGTTGTTAAGTGAATCTGGCTTCCCCATTAACTTTGCTTGTCACAAGGTCACAAAAGGTGATCACATGACCCTGGGACACTGCACCCGTCATAAATATGAGTCAGTTGCCAAGCGTCTGAATTTTGATTACATGACCATGCTGCAATGGTCATAAGTATGAAAAATGGTCATGTCACTTTTTCGGTGCCACTGTAACTTTGAACAGTCACTAAATGAATGGTTGTAAGTCAAGGACTATTTGTATGAAAAAGTAATATATTTAATTGTGAGCTCTTCCATTTTTCATTTTTCCTAAAATCCCATATTTCTGCTTTGGAATTGCAAACTCATCATAAAACTGCTTCTAACATTTTGGATATTATTATTATTAAATAAAAAATAGAGTTTCTATGTCTGAAGAAAGCTGTACACAGATTTATTTCTTCTTGCAACAACAGATAAGTTCAGTTTCATTAAAAAAAAACCAACAAGTAGTACTTTGCTTCACTCTGCATTAATTTATAGACAAATCCTCACTCCTTTAATAACATTCTTTGGTATGGTTTGCTTTCACAAACTGGTTATTCTAATTATATTTAGTCAGAACAGAAGAAAAAAAATCTTTTTGTCTTTCTAGTGAGAGAATACAATTTTTCATCTGCCATCTGTTCAAGTATGGACTTTTATTTATAGGGCTGCGTAAAGACATTCTGATTCTAAAGGATAGTCCAGTCCAGTCTAATTTGAATAGAAAGGACCATCAAGGAAAATAAAAAACAAAAAAGAGCAGGGTCCTTGAAGGGCCTCATCGATGGTTACCACCTGGACAGCAGATGGGATAAAGTGCAAGTCATCTGCTTACAAGTCTCCCCAGAGCAGATGTATGTTATATTTCTGTTTAAATTTACCATATTTTTGTTTCTACATTTGTACCTGTGCCTGTAAATTAGTCTATGCAGATTTTAGACAAATCTGGACTCTCTATTTATTCTTTCCATCCCAATAGAACTATGGAGAGAAATTACATGGAATTTCAGCTGTCTGTCAGCAAAGTAACTTTCCAAAGCTGAAGAGAGCTGCACCAAATTTGGCAAGGTGGGCGAAGTCTACAAAAAAAAGATTGGGTTTGAAAAATGGACCAAATCCAGTGATGTGGTGTCAAAGCAACAAGAAACAGTTTGGTCTAGCAGTTAAGACACCAGGCTAGAAACCAGGAGACTGTGAGTTCTAGTCCCACCTTAGGCAGGAAAGTGGGCTGGGTGACCTTGAGCCAGCCACACACACTCTCGGCCCAATCCACTTCACAGGGTTGTTGTTGTAGGAAAATGTAGATAGAAGAAAAGAATTAGGTATGTTCACCACCC